GGTAGCGGGGGGGTGGACCCTATGGGGTGCTGGGGACACACACGGAGGTTTCCTTCACTGCAGAAAGGTCACACCGACACCTCCCACCCCCCAGCCACACAGGGGGTCACGGCCACCCCACAGTGGGGACGGGTGCTGGCGGCCCCCCCGGCACCGGCAGTCACTCTCGGCTCAGGGTGCACCAGGCAGCTGCAGGGGAACAGCACTGGAGGGTCACCCTTGCCCGGCCCCGCATCGCCCCAACTCCCCTGTCCCACCCAGCCCAGTCCGCGCTGCCCCCCACCCCGTGCCCCCTGCCCACCCCTACTCCCTGGCAGTGGGAGTGGTGCTGGCCACCCGGGGTCTCTGTCCCCCACTCCACGGGGCAGCTGCCCTCCTACCTGGCACGGCCACACTGGAGATGGCCTCGGGCTGGCTCAGCGTGTCCACCTTGACGTGCTGGAAGCCCTTGCAGGTGGCACTCTGCAGGTGCCTGTGCCCGGGTGGGAGAGAGGGGGTGACAGCCTCCCCCTAAATCACCATCCCAGCCCCACCTCCAACCCCATCGGCTCTGGCAGGGGCTGGGTGCCAGCAGGCCCGCTCACCCTCCCCAGAGTGCTTGGGCAAAGCACTCTGTCATGGTTCAGGACAGTGAGACCTCCCATACTCCATGTCCAAAGGCATCCCCAGGCGGGGATGCACAGAGACCTCCCAAGCCCCCTGTCCCCTTTACAGTGACAGCCGCAGGACAGAGAAACAGACAGATCCTTGCCCCTGCCATCAGACAGGGGACAGAGCTTGGGGCTCTGTAGCTCCAACACCCCTCCGTGCACAAACACCCCACCCAAAAATGAGCTTTTTGTGCCCCCTCCCCTACCTCTTCCAGTCGTCCTCAGTCTCCCAGAACTCGTAGACAATGAAGGTGACCCCGTCGGGCAGCTTCACCGCAGTGATGCTGGTGGGAACAGGGAGATGGGTGAGCCCCGAACCATGGGGCATCCCTCCCCCCTTGGCCTGTGCAGACACAGGCACCACCGAGGGGCGACCCCAGACCCAGCAGCCCAGTTGGGGGACACCCCCCCCCAGCACTCCCCAGCCCATGTAAAAGGGTTTTGGCCAAGCATCACTACACCTCAAATCCTTGCTGTTTTGCCTCAGCCCTTCCCTTGGTGGGGTGACCCTTGCTGTGAGGGCAGCTGGACACCCCCTGCCCTGCCCCCGAGTCCCCCGGCCCCCCGATGCGCAGCTGCCGGCGGTACCCACTGGAAGAAGTCCCGCTCCCCAGACCCAATCTTCCA